AACAATACATAGTTAAGACCTATGTCGATCATGGGCATGCAAGACCATGCTGAATCAGCATATCAATAGATATTTGATGGATTCTTATGCTACCTTAACTATGAGTGATTGTTTCGAGTTTAGAAATCTAAAATGCTGAATAAAAATATTAGCAAAGGTACCAACATTACACGTATATCAAGAATAAATAGAGGAAACTGTAGTCTTGTAATAATTGCCAAATTTTTTTACGCTTAAGCGTAATATGTTAGTATTAAAGTAAAACACTGATGTACGTGTAATCGAAACAACCTAACGCACTACAGGCAGTGCCTCAAGGGTAGTGTGGAAACTGCCCAATTTGACGCATGATTAATTATTAAATTTTTTTATCGAGGTACTTCGTTGCATTTATTTATTTATTTTCTAAAATAAGTATATAAAAGTACATCTTGCGTATAACACATGAAAAATAACTATTTCTAAATTTCGTACTTAATTAATGTAAAAAAAAAATTAATACTTTCAGTCAGTACAATAAACTGAAAATATAAATTTCACCTGATTAATAATCACTTTATCATGTTAATCAGGAGAGTTACATTTTTTTAAATTATTATATATCATGAACGTATTTACATTTACTGCGTAGTTAAAAAAAAAAAAAAAAAAAAAAATTGCGCTGCTGAGATTCGAAGATTGAGTGAGCAAAGTCATCATGTGCGCTAGCCCACTCAGCTACCGATAACTTTCTCCTATGTGATACTGAAGCAGTATATAAGTTGTTAGAGAAGGCTTGGGTTAACCATCTGGGGGGAGGCTGAAGTGGGAAAGCTAGAGAGAGAGAGGGCTCAGGCGGGACCTATTTTAAGCAGCGCGCTGCTGTACTGGCAAATGAGCATTAAGCTCTTCTGCGCATGTGCGACTTCGCAGTACCGTCTGGCATCACTGGTTAGTGCAGATTGTGCTCTGGCTAGATATGTCTCCTGGTATTACGCCAGAGACGTCATCGGTTGGAATGAATTTTTTTTTGATCGCGCTCGTCGAGATTTAGGATAAATGTAAACCTAGGTCCCTTCCCCCTTACAGAAAAGTGTCGTCCGTAACCGGGATATCCAGCTGCAAGATTATCATTAACATTCTCTATGCAGCTCGTTGACCTGCCGAAGCACGTCTGTGTAACTATCGAGACGCTCCAGTGTATTATAACCACACTTATTTAATTCTGTTGCAGGTAGTCTCGATTTTATGTCGACGCCACCTAGCGGATTTTACTGAACTATGAGTGAAAAGCTGGCGTATTTTTGCAAAACTTTGAGCCCATTTAGTGCTATTGTTATTAAATTTTTCAAGATAAAAACTATACTAAAACCATCTAGAAAGTATCATGAATCAGTGTGCAAAATTTCAGCAAAATCGGTTCAGTAGTTTTCGCGGTTAGCGATTACAACGGTTTTAGCG